TTGACATTTTTTTTCTTCATCGCCAAAAGGGCGCGATGGGCTCTCGCGTGACCTTTCTTCTCTTCTTTGAGAGAAGAACAAGGACACCCAATAAAAAGCGCGCACCCGGTGTCACCACCCCCACGAGCAGGGGAAAGGAGCGATCATTGTTACCATTCCCAAAAGCAAACACACTAGATGGCCACTGAAAACATACATGCGAGCAAAACAACATGTTAGGCAAACGGAAGAGGCTGAAATACGCCAGACCCCCGACACCCACACACACCAACACCAAGCGGCAGAGATGAATGTGTGTGTGCGCCCCTCAGAGTAGATTTACTTGTGATGCCGCCCCGTACCACTTCTGCACGCGCAGCGCGCCCTGCCGGGTGAACATCAGCACAAATTGAATCTAGTACAACAGCCGTGGCAACCACGCAACCAGGAAACCCGTGTTCATCATGTGTGAGTTTGGCAGTAGCGGGGCGGGTAGGTGGGGGAGAGAAACAAAGCCTCCACGAGGAAGCCGCTCTGCTCCACTCACCCTCCACATCCACCCGTCCACACAAGCCAGCCACTGCTCTCACCATCTTTGCTTTTCGTTGCGCGCAGTCGACTACTTTTAATGGTGTCGCTTACAGTCGTCGTTTGCGTGGGGTGGTGTGGTGTGTGTGTGTGTGTGTGTGTGTGTGTGTGTGTGTGTGTGTGTGTGTGTGTGTGTGTGTGTGTGTGTGTGTGTGTGTGTGTGTGTGTGTGTGTGTGTGACAGCCCGTGGTGGTTGGGTCCGTAAAGATTACCAATGACAACCATGCCCGGTGGTTTGGGAATAACAGGGCTGTATTGTCAACCGCAAGAGACGGAAAAAGAAGAACCAGTGAAACACAAAAGTGAAACACAAGGGAAGCAAAGAAGGAGGGATACAGGGTACCTCGGACAAGCACACGAAGACAAGGTGCTCGAGCGCAACATGACCCAACAGCAACAACGATGACGAGAAGGAGAAGGGACTATGTTCCACAACAAACTACAAAAGAAAAAAAAACACGCACACATCAAATCGCACAATCAGTGGCGCAAACAACACAACACGCCACTCAGTATCAACCCACACACACAGAAGCACGAGCACACCACCACCACCACCAGCGCCATGAAAGCAAACGGCCGCATCAGAGCACGCCAATGTCCTCAAGGGCAGCGCGACCGGCCTCGCCGTGCTCCTCCAAGATGTCGTGGCTCGTCACCGCCCGGAGTACCGCCTTTTTGCTTGATTCCTGTACCTCCCCGCCAAGCAGCAGCTCGTCCAGGATGTAGTATGCCTGCAAGAAGCACGCCATGATTGAGGGTTAGGGCATGGAACACGCACGTGTCTCTGCGTGTGTGTACACGTGTGTGCTCGCGTGTTGCATGGGTGTTGCATGTGTGGGCGTGCGGCATTGATGTGGCAAGAGTCATTCTACGTACGGCAACAACAACTGGACTGCAAGCACAGATGCACACGTGTTCAACGCATCAATGACCACCAACACGCCCATCACTCAACACCACCACCACGGCGGGACTTGCCTTGTCAAAGTTGAAGATGATATCCAGTTCGCACACCTGCATATGCATCGGCCATTGAACCGACAGCCCGCCCCAGGCCGAGACAAAACAAGAACACCCGCAGTGAGTGCGCACGCCTTGCCCCACAGCAAGATCCATGACCGTGTCAACAACCAAGACAAGACAACACCGCAAGGCAGACCATGAGCTTGCGTTCTCAACACCGCAACTTACGCTGCCAAAGTATTTGTCCAGGAGCTCGACATAGCGATGGATCAGCTCAAGCGCCATCAACTCGTTGTCGTCGTTGCCCACTGCAAACGCAAAGTACAAACTGGCATATCTGGAGCGCACACACAGCCGCGGGCGGGGGAAGTATCGCAATCGCGAGCAACGTGTGAATCGAGAGACAGTGTGTGTCGTCAGTGCTTGCCTGCCTTTTTCAGCTTGAACGGTCGCGTGCTGCGGTATTGTTGTCAACAGTGACACACACACACACACACACACACACACACACACACACACACACACACACACACACACACACACACACACACACACACACACACACACACACAGCGACACACACACACACACACACAGCGACACAGCGACACACACACACGTACGCACCTTTTGTACACGATTTTCATGTCCTTCCACTCGAGGAAGTTTGACATCTTTGTCTTCCTCGCCAAGATGAGCGTGATGAGCTCACGTGTGACCTTCTTCTTCTCTTTCTGCGAAGAACAAGACACGCAATAAAGCGAGCACACGGTGTCACCATCACCACGAGCAGTGAAAAGAACGAGCATTGTACCATTGCAAATGCAAACACACAAGATGGCCACTGAAAGCATACATGCGAGCAAACAACATGTTGGTGCAAAACGGAAGAGGCCGAAGTACGCCAGACCCCAGACACCCACCCACACCAACACCAAGCGGCAGAGCTGAATGCGCGTCTGCGCCAGCTCAGAGTAGACTTACTTGTGATGCCGCCCCGTACCACTTCTGCATGCGCAGCTTGCCCTGCCGGCTGAACATCAGCACAAATTGAATCTAGTACAACAGCCGTGGCAACCAGGCAACCAGGAAACCCGTGTTCATCATGTGTGAGTTTGGCAGTAGCGGGGCGGGTAGGTGGGGGAGAGGAACAAAGCCTCCACGACGAAGCCGCTCTGCTCCACTCACCCTCCACATCCACCCGTCCACACAAGCCAGCCACTGCTCTCACCATCTTTGCTTTTCGTTGCGCGCAGTCGACTACTTTTAATGGTGTCGCTTACAGTCGTCGTTTGCGTGGTGTGGTGTGGTGTGTGTGTGTGTGTGTGTGTGTGTGTGTGTGTGTGTGTGTGTGTGTGTGTGTGTGTGTGTGTGTGTGTGTGTGTGTGTGTGTTGTGTGTGTGTGAACGACAACATAGTCATCCACGCAAGCAATATGTTCTGGCACGTCTCATCAATGCATTAGCGATTCCGTTACTTGTTTGCCGCGCCGTCGTCTCCATCACCGGCAACAGCACCGCCATGGGTACCATCACCACCCTTATCACCACCCTTATCACCACCACCATCACCACCACGGCCGTTGTTGCCAGTGTCACGAGCCCGGCCATCATCGTCATCAGATGAGTCCGAAGAGATGACATAGTCGATCACCACCTTGGGTTTGGGTTTGGGTTTGGGTTTGGGATTGGGATTGGGCTTGCGCACTGTCTTTGGTGGCGTGGGCTTGGGCTTGGGCTTGGGCTTGGGCTTGGGCTTGGGCTGTCGTGTCGCCTTGGGCCTGGGCTTGGGCTTGGGTTGTCGTGCTGCTTTGGGCTTGGGTTGCCGTGCCGTCTTGGGCCGTGCTCTTGGTTTGGGTTGTCGCACCTTGCGCCGTTTCTGACTGAGCCAGAGGTTCAGCTTCTTGTGTGAGTGCGGTCGAAACACGGTTCGCTGCGCATACGACGGCAGCCACGGCTTTGTGAGCACGTGGTACTTGTAGGCACGCGAGTTCACTCTGACGCAGCCGCCCTGTGCGTCCCACTTGCGGTAAACTGTGCTCCGTTTCAGCACCTGCTTCATCTGCTTTTGCCGAAGGACATATCGCTTAAGGTGCAACCGTGCCGCGTCCATGTAGGGGCCCTCGATTTGCTCCGCTGGCAGCAGCAACCGAACGAGTGCGTGCGTGCGTGAGTCCGCGAGAAAATGAGGGAGGCAGTGCACGTACAGAGGGTAATGAAGGAGAAACAAGCTCGCAATGGGTCCCATAGCCAAGCACACTCCTCAACCTGCAAATAGCACCCAACAACTCAACAACCGCAACTGCACGACGAAACAAGTATGAGAGGTCACTTGTCTGCAGGCACACTGTCATGA